TGTCAACATCCCACCAATCGCAGCAGTGCCTTGAGCTATGCTCAATTTTTTAGCCACCCTCTCCACACCCATCCCCATCATATGCAACTCTTCAAGTCAGGCGGGGGCGGCGCCCCGCAGCGTGCTGTCGGCAAAGTTCTTAAGAAGTTTTTGTGTCACGCTGCTTCTGTCTGTATCTGTCTCTGTTGTTGCTGCCGCGGCGGCTGATGTGGCTGCTCTCGTTGCTGATGCCACTGATTGTTGTTGTTGTTGTTGTTCTTGTTGTAAAATTTATTATAAAACGCACAACATGCTGGCCCCCAAATCGGTTTGGCTTTTGAACGTTTTAGTTTAGGTTCGATTCGCTGGGCGTTGGGATTTTCGTTAGATGTGCGCATAGAACACAAAAGCTGACAAGAAATTCTCAACTTTGTGGCAACTCTTTGATGCCACTGCCTCATATCAAATTACTTAAGGGGCGCAGCAGCCAGCAGTCCATCAATAGCTGTTATTTATACACTCACAAATGGATAAGACCGACTAATAAAACAGTCTAACTGGAACCAAAACAGAAAAGAAAAACAAATCATTTTTCTTATTATAACTCTCAATTTTTGACATAAATAAATACCTTAAAAGTTACTTAACAACTTACAAACAAATTAAAGAAATATTTCACTTTTTGAAAACGACAAAGATTTGTTGTAGTGTATCCGCAGCTAAGCCGCAAGTAAGTAAGAGGTAAGAGACGTTCTAGACAGATGTCTTCACTTTTGGGCGCACTGCTGGCTGCTGCAGTTTCCTGGTAGTTGCAAATGACTGACAACTTGTTATTGGATATTGTTGACTGCCACAACGGCGATAGCAGGAACAAGTGTTTCAGCTGTCAGCAGCTTGTCACTCGCAAAAAGCGAGACAAAAAATGAAAAAAGCATACTTTTTTCTCATTTTTTTTTTTTTAATATTAATACAAAAAAAATGCAACATTAATGAAGATGCAAAAGTTGACAGTGCACAGCTGAGTGTGTGTGTGTGTGTGTGTGTGTTTGTGTGTGTGTGTATGAAAGCTGCTCGAAGCAATGCGATTAAGGCAACGTCATCGTCAGCGTTAATGCCAGCAGCGTTGCCTCCTCTTCAACTTGCTGGCATTTGTCACTTTCGTTTAGATTTGAAGAGGGCAACATCAACAGCAATAGCAACAACAACAACAACAGCAGCAGCAGCAACAACAGCAACAACAACAAAAACGATGTGCCCATAAAAAGGTGTTGATTGTGTCACACTTGTCGCGCTTAAAGACTCAACTAAAAAACGCGACACGCCGCCTAAATATCCTTTAACTGTAACCAATGACACATCAAAGGCGGCATACCCTTGAATACCCCGCACCACGGCTGCGCATGCGTAAGCCCCTCAAAATGTTTTTCGTTTTTCGTCGTTTTTCATTTATTGTGGGAAAAACACATTGGGAACCGAGAATTGGGTTCAACAATGACGAGAGTCGAGCTCGTTAAACATCTGTGTAGAGTTTAAGGTTTGTGTGTGTCTGCGTGTGTATGTGTGTGTGTGTGTGCGTGTGTGTGTGGGTGTGTGTGTGTGCTGGGAGGCGCGGCATTGAAAATTTGTAAGTCAAACCTGTTGAAAATCGAGAACAAGGTGGCATATCAATGTTTGCCACAGCGCTAATGATGTTGTTGCACTTATTGAGTTGCCAGCATATGCTGCGGATATCCTTGACGGCCAACAGTTGCACAACAGATGCAACTCTGCCACTTCTGACTTTGATCCTGACAGCATCCTTCTGAGTGTATCAATATCAACTGCTATTTGTCCGCACTCACACTCGATTTCGTGTCATTTTTGTTATGCTTCAGTTGCTCATCTTGCTCATCTTTCATTATTTCTCTCTCTTTGGTATTTTATATATGGTCATGTTGAAACCATAATTAAATCTTTCATGTGTCATATGTTGGATGTGAGTACATCGAAGGTCACTACTTAGGATTATTCTGTTCGAATAATTCAAATAAAACCCTTAAATCACATTTAAATAGCTACAAACTACAAATTGTAGATTCCCCAATTTCAATCGGCCGAATAAAATATATGTTCTGGAATTTAAATGCTATCATTATCAGCATGAAATCAATGCTAGCCACTGCAAATTATTATATATTTTTGATCTTATTTATTCTTATCAATTATTTTGTTGTAACTGATCCTTGCCAAGGGAACTGTTTTCCAAACACTTTAAGTGTGTTGGTTTATTGTTGCCCATGAAGGGCCTTGTCTTGAAATAGTATTCGTTCTTGAACACCAAATCTGTGACTCATTTATCTTGAAATTAATTCAATTCCCACCAACTGCTACTCGTGGCCAGAATCTTGTTAGCTTTATTAATGCATTGCGATTATGTTTTGCTGTTGCTTTTTTTTGTTAATCTCTAAGCCCCTCTCTTTCAACCTGCCAAGTGCTTGAACATTTCAACATGCTCGTTTGCACTTATCGCAGTACTTTACTTAGTTCGGGTACCGCCTCCGCATAACTAAGCGAACTCTTTTTGCCAGTGAGCTGAAATTTTCAATCTAATCAGTATTAGTACACGCTCCTATTTATAGCCCAAACCCATTAAAAACGTTTAAAAGCGGGTATAAGGGTTGTGTGCAAAAGGATGTAACAGGCAGAAGGCCATATAGGATATATGTTCTTGGTCATCAGTCGAGGCAATATAGCCATGTCCGCCAGCTTAAAGACGCGGAGCTGAGCTAGAGACTTAAAATATGGAGGATAAGTTTTCTGAAGCCACGCGGAAATCCGGTTTATTGAATTTTATCGATAATTGTCTCCATTTCGCTAATATTGCTTATAGAAGCAGAGCCTTCCAACTGCCCACATTTCGTCAAGATATGATACAAAACATCCAAGTTATAGTCAAAGACATTTGGATTCAGATTTTAGTTTTTTTTAACCTTACATTCGAGTGTGCTAAACTTTTAAATGGAAATTTGGCAATAAGACTAGGATATATTTCACAGTTGGATTCAGCGTATATCGTAGTCGAGTCGAGCACACTCGACTACAGCACTCTAACTCAGTTTTTTAGCATTCTCATGCGAGTTTCCCATCATTTTCATTTTGAGCACAGTCATTTCGAAGCTATAGTCGCATGCATGTTAATTATTATTTGCATTTGACATGAACGTTAGGAGCAGTGCCGTTCTTAGCCCTGCTCAAAGGAGCAGGCTCATTAAATTTTAAGCATTTCGCCTCGCGTTTTATTTGCCTTACGCTTTGGGTGTTTCCCTCTGATGTGGTGAGGGGCACGATGCGGCTTTTGGCACAAAAGAATTATTCAACAAGTCAGAATGCTCTAGTCGAGAGAGCCATACTTGAACCCAAGTATTTTCAGTCTGTCTCACATATTCATGTCTATATATATATATATATATATGGGTATATAATAGTCATCTCGACCGATGTCAAAGTATTCATTCATATTTAAAACAGCTCGGGTCTTGATCCTACAAATATATTTTAGGGAGTCGGATATACTTTCTTCTTTTGCACAACTTTATCATATCCTTTATACCCATTTTTAATGTGTTTAGGACAGTGCGTCAAGTCGGAATTGGAATCGGCACCGCATATTTAAAAACCCGAAAACCAGAAAAGATAATATTTGACCCGAGAAACCCTTATAGGAACGAAAAGATGTTGTCAGAACATTGCTAAGGTGTATGTAAGTGAATGTGTCTATGTTCCATCTGGTATGAGAACTTTTATGCTAACTCGATTCGATTTGAGTTCAGTGTATACAAAAATATACGCAGTTGCTTATATTCGAGTAGATATATTAATGTACATATGTACTATGTGGAGTTGCAATTCTGTGTGGGGGTCTGTTTGCTCTTGCGTTTTCTATGGAGTTTTTACTGTCTGATCTCTTCCAATGAACTTCCGTTTTTATAAGCGCCCCCGCTTTAGAGGCTTTTGCGGGGCTGGCATTAATTTATTTTTATTGTATTTGGTTTGTTGTTTTAACTGACATTTTTCCCGTGTTGTTGTGGCCCGGTAAAACTACACGAAACGGTAAAACTACAAGAAACTATAAGGCGAGAGCAACGCAATGAAGCGTTGCAAGGCGGCAACCAAGATATGGTCTTAAAAATGTAAAAAAAAAAACACAACAACAACAACAAATAACTGGCATTTGCCACTCGCAGCGCGCTTAATTTATGTGTTTTTTATGCTGATGAAACGCAGACAGGAACCAGGGCAAACGCAACCAAGTCAAACCAAACCAAAGTCAGTTGGTCACTTTCAATTCGAAACCCAGATCAAAACACTAACCCCAACCCCAACCCAAACCGAAGCTCAATACACAAAACCCAAAGAAGAACAAAAAAAGTTGTAAAACTCTTGGGTCGGGCCTAAAAACAAAGTCGCCAGCCGCAAAATGGGAAGCACTAAAGCGCAAAACTTTGCCGCTTTAAAATGTTGCGTAAAACTGTTTTTGAGCGAAATAATAATAATAATAATACTTTAACTGTGTGGATCGCAAAACACAACACATGGAAATAGAAATTGCTTCTTACCAATAATGATAATTTTATTGTATTTGTTTTATTGCAACTGTAGAATTAACTGGGGCTGCTTATTCACTTTTTGATGAAGGTGTTTGAATTTAATTACAAGAATTGAAGCATTTCTATACCAGAGTAATACTGATAACTTGAATACTTGATTTGTTTTCGTATTTTTCTTTTTTTTTGTAATTAAAGTAAGTATGTAACTAGCTGAGGCTGCTTATATCCTCTTTTCTCTTGTTCACAAAACTGATATGATTGAATTTAATTGAAGCATTTTTATACTGAAAATTTGACATTTTCTATTAGCTAAAATGAATGCCAGACTCGATTTGCTTTTAGTTTTGTAAACGACAGCTGACAATTGTGTCTATGTAGATCAGTACGGCATTGGAATGGGGCCTCCGTCGTAGGAAACCGGAGTGGAAAACTCACCTGTATCACGCGCATCGGCAATCCCGTTTCCTTGGCCAGTTGCTCCCTAATATGGCGTGTCGGCTTCGGTGTCTGATTGAATGCGGTTTTCAGTACCTCAAGCTGTTTGGCCTTGATGGTGGTGCGGGGACCGCGTCGCTTTGAGCCATTGGCATCGTCGGGACTTTTGTTCTCCGCCTGTGAATCGCCGCGTCCATCGGGATCACCGTCCAGAGAGCCCTATAAAAGAGAAAGAGATATACATATATCTATGAATATACATATATAGTGATCAGCTCATAATCATTTGCCAATCATTAATCAAAAGAGGCTGACGTCGGATCTACAAAGTGTGGCCCGCTTTCCCACTTGTTGTCATTCAATTCCATTCATTGCATTGTATATAGACGTACGTATATAAAATGTATGTAGATGTATTGGACCGAAGCGGAAACCTGTTAATGATGCAACCAATCCACTACACTCCACTACACTCCACTTCACTCGACACAATCGCACTTTTTGCAGCGATCTTACCTGATCGGAATCGTCATGCGTATTTTTACTATCGGTGCTCATGCTTTGTACTGATATATCCGAGGTGCCCAGCGGTCCACCCGCTGAGTCTGGCCCATTCGGTCCAAGCACGCCCAATCCCAGCGCCGGTCCACGCAAATGTGGCGGATCATCGTCGTCTTCGTCTTCGCTCGCCGAACCCATTAATGAATCTGTGTGAGAGATCGAAAGATTAAAGGTTTACGTATAAGCATGTACACATATATATTTATATATGTTTATATGTATATACATACATACATATATGTATATAGGTATATGTGGTCGAATGCAAATGGAAGGAGCTGCAGCTGTCTGCAACGAATTCAAACGAAGTCTCTAACAAATTGCTGAACAATATGAACATGAGGCATTAAAACCGAGAGACACTTAAAATACAATTGCAATAAATAATATTTGTGATGGGATAAGCCAAAAACGACGCCACGACCGAACGTTGGCTCGTTTCAGTCTTCAGTCACGTGTCGCCATTTCACTACTAAGTAGCCCAACTCCCCTTCCCTCTTCCCTTTTCCCTTTTCCCCCTTCCACCTTCCAACGCCCCCACCAAATCCAAAGCACCCAACCCCTTTTTGGGAGACACGTGTCAAATGCAGCTCTCTAGCGTTTTGGTGTTTGCCGCTCTGCTGATGCCCAAATAAGTTGATTAGAGCCCTTTCGACTGGTTCAGATTCGAGATCAGGTTCGGGTGCGTCTGCGTCTGCGTTTGCATCGGCGTCTGTTAGGTGGGTCTTATCGCTCGCTGAGCTGTATGCCATATAAAATGGTGACACGCGTCGGTCACATTCCCATTCACATCAACGTCATCCTGCAGTGCTTCAGATAAGAAGACGACGCGTCCATTTTGGCATTGGAATCGCGTTGAAATGTGTAACTCAAATGGCTCGATTCGATTGTCTTGTTTGTGCCTCCCCGCCCACTGCCCATTGCCACATGCCCCCTTTTGAAAATCTATGCCTGTGCCCCTGGGGACAGTTTGCAGACTCCACCTTGCTCGTTGCTCGTATTCCCTTAAGGGCAGCGAAGCGCAATTGCAAGTCTTTGCTTTACTCTCAGCCAGTTGGCAGTATTCAAGAGTTGCCGAAAAATAAATTACACTTTATTATGCATAATCTAATCCGCAGCAGATGCGGCACACTAGCAGCCCTCCCTCGGGGGTGGCTCTGGGTAGCACCGGGCTCTGGATTCTGGGTTTTGGCTCTGATTTGTGCTGCATGTCGCACAATATGCCTTGAATTTGGCTCCTGACTCAGAGTCATTAGCCTCAGTTGCAGCATCAGTCCCAGTCCAAGTCACAGTTCCCGTCGCGTCTGTCAGACAGTTAGATTGTCGTGGAGGAGATGGGAGGGGATTGGGACGGGAGGTAGCTCTCGGAGCTTAACGCGTTACGAGTCGCTGTCACTTACAGCAGCATGCAAATCCCAGCCAGATGATGACCATAATGCAGCTGCGTACCGCTGGCCAACTGGCAAGTGACGAGCAGGAAGCGAATTTGCTTGGATTCAAACATGCTCAGGCATTTGCAACTCAAACACGAATATGAATGCGACTACGAGTATTTGTCTGTTGGTCGCGGAGAGTGAAGGTTAATTGCAGTCAGTTGATACACCTACTGAGCGTTTCGGACAGCAGAAATAATTGCAAAAGTTGCTTAAGCGCTCCTAGTCGGAAATGCCAAAAACTCTGTGAACCAAACGAGCGCTTAAATCTGAAGTCTGAAGTTGGGCATGTAGTTAGAATTGTGGATCGACAGACAAGATCGATGGAGGATGAAAAACAGACGAGTCTCTAGAAGCAGCTACACCTCCTAACACCATTAAATTATATACAAATACTTTTTAATTTGCACAATTCTTTGTTAAGAGCTGGATTACTTTCTATCTTTCTTCGGAGTTTTTCCTTTCTAACATTCCAACATTCAAAGTCTTTCAGCATTTCATATTTAAAACGAGATCCTCCAATTGAATGGTTGGCTGAAGCTGCGTCAGGTGTGCACACTTCAAGTGACTTAAAGTTCGCTTTTGTAATTTTGTTCAGATCAAGAAATGTCTTTATAATCTTTCAATTGACCCGCAGCAGCACCACAGCAGCACCACAGCAGCACCCCCGTGCACCGGGGCACCCAACCACCAAAACCGTTCAAACAACAACAAAAGTGAAGCGAAACGGAAACTTGAAGTGTTTACCAGCATCGCTTACATGTCGCCCAGTTGACAAAAGAATCGAGAGCCAAGAGAAACCCTTGGACCACAAGCGGAACCACCCAATATAGCACAGGCCCAGCTGCTGCTGTTGCTTCTGTTGCTGGTCGATGTCCATGCCATTGCACAGCGTTCCATATGGGCGCTTTAAGTTGTTGTTAACACATGTTAATAAACACGCGACTGATGGGCGATTGAAGACGCCAGTTGCGAGCTGGGTGAGTGTAGTGTAGTGTTGTGCCGAGGAGGGGAGGGTTGGAGCGGGGGCGATGTGTATAGCATGAGGAGGGTTGTCAGTACCAGCAACCGCTGTAGCAATAACAACAGCAACAGCAACAACAACAACAACAACTTGCTTCAAGCATCACTCAAATTAACTTTGAAAACCATTCAGGAACACTTCATTTGATTGCCACAAAAACCTTTGCTGCTATTGCTGCTGCTGCTGCTGCTGCTGTTGCTGTTGTTTGTAATTGTTGTTGTAGCAATAGCAATTATGCCATTGAGAGCTGCACAGCAACCCTCTGTGTGGGCACCCAACCACCCCGCCACCCAGTCACCACGCTTATGCCTGGCATCGCCTGCCCGGCAGCCATAAAAGTTCAAACACTCATTTTTAGCTTAGGAAAATATATAGATATATGTATATTTATATTTTTTTTCGTAATTTTCATTTTGTGTGTCGCTTTGTAACCATAACCCCACCGCCTTCCCCATTTGCCCCGCACTCATCGCGAACGCCTCTGTTTAGCCAACGCAAACAGTAGCCAGCGGCGCCCTCGAGGAAGACGCACAAGTGCAGCAGGAGCAGCAGCAGCATCAGCAGCAGCAGCAGCTACGGCGACAACATCCTTGAGCCTTGAGCCCATCCGTTTGACTGACAGCCAAGCAAACACACAAACAGACAGGCAGCAGTTAGGCAGAGAGCAGGGTGGGGTTTGTTTTGGTTGGGGAGGCGGGCAAATAAATAAACAATGGCGAATGTTGGTCAGCCATGCCCCCAATTGAACGCCCACTTGCTTGTTTGCATAGTCAAGTGCGATGTTTGGCAACGCATCTTGCAACAGGCGCACCGTTGTCAGCAACGCCTGCCTCCCCCCCACACACACACACACCTCAAGCACACTTCTTTCGTCAAAGACCATTCCGAAATCGCATTTGTAATACCTGAATTGGGGTAACTTCCACAAACGCTTGATAATCACTTTGATTCGTCCAACACAACTCTTCTTATGACAACTCTGTTGCTATATTAACAATCATAGTCATAATAATACATAGTAATTGAGAGACGGTAGAAATCTGTTAAGGAACATTTAACTTGAGAGTTTGAAACAACACAATTTGGTATGAATTTCCGCATAGATAGAGTACAGAGTATAGCACGTAAGGAGTATAACGAGATAGCAATCGAAATTATACAACTTTCAGTAATAATTTCTCGACATCTAGAAGGATACACGAAAGCTTAGCAAGGCAACAAACTTACGGAATGACTTTTCATCTTATATTTGAAAAATTCAAGATCAAAACAAATATTATGTTTATTTTCTAGTTAGGGCAATTTAGGGAATTTTGATGATAACTTGGTAATTCGAAGTGATCGAATTATTGTAGCAGAGATTCAATTATTCCTGAGACTCCGTGGACTGGCTATAGTTCAATTATTGGTTGGGAGAATATTTTGTAGCCTGTGTAAAGAAGTTGTGCTCCTTTTTTTGTGACAAGTGCACAAGTGCCTGCTGGCGTGTGGGTGAGGGATGTGAAGCACCCTCAGCCCTGCGATTTGCGCAGTCAATCCCCACCCCGCCCCTGCAAAAGGGCATAGACAAAGCGCACACACATTAATTTCGAATTAGTTTTGCATCATGTGGTTCACGATGCAGAAAAATCGACTCTGCTGCTTCTGGCAACCCTCAATGTAAGTGACTGAAGGGAATGGGAACGGCAATGGGTAAGGAAAAGGGAAGGACGATGCTCCCCAACCAGCAGCACTGAGTCGATGAATTGCGTTGGAATTGGGTAGGGGATTGCTGCCGCTGCGACTGCGACTGCGACTGAGATGACTGGGGCTGGAACTGAAACTGGGACTGGGACTGGGACTGGGACTGGGACTGGGACTGGGACTGGGACTGGGACTAAAACTGGGAGCGTGCTTATGGGCAACTATTAACTGCACACAACGTATGCGGCATGAAAAATGCGGCATGGACGTGAAACAGATCGCTGGATTTTCTACATGAGCGCATACTGAAAGTATCCGTGAGTCGTCGTCGTCGTCATCTTCATTCATGCAAGGCATAAAGTGAGTGAGTGAAAAAAACAGAGAGAAAGAGAGAGAGAGAGAGAGTGAGAGAGAGAGAGAGAGAGAGACAGCACAATGCGGCTGCGGCTCAAGCTTGTTGGCTGTAAAATTAGGTTAATTCCTGTCAGTGCGTTGCTGATTTGAATTGTCACACACACACACACACATATATATATATATATATATATATATATATGTATATATATGAAGAGAGTTGAACACATTGCAACTTATAGGTCTGATGCACCTGGGTCTCATCGGTTTCAGTGCTGCCACTGCCACTGCCACATCTCTTGCCTTGCGATTTACCTTTGCCATCCTCATTGACGGCCGTTGACGTTGTTTCTTGTTTAGCCTTTTTTTTTAGCAGCTCCCTCCCAGCAGCTCCCTCCGTTGCTGCTCCTAGTCAGCTGTCTCTCGGCTTAGTGCGGCAGCTCTAATCCGCATGCCTGACTCCCCATATGAGTTGTGTGTGTGTGTGTGTATGTGAGAGGTGTGTGTAGTGTGTGTGTGTCTTGGGTTCGGTCTTGTCTTCCACTTCCACAGCGTCGTTGTCTCCTTGCTGTCTGTTACTGTGCTCATCAACTTCACAAGCCAACTAATAATTGTAAAATTAATATTTAGACAACCGTCTACTCAAAGCATT